AGGTCTTTATCTTGCTCCATCCGTCAGCCACTAGGTCAAATGTAGTGTCTTCGTTGGCAATATTCTCATCCAGATTGATTGATCGCTCTTCCTGCCAGCCTTTCTTGCTGGTAATACTGGCCCAGTCTTCTAGTGTCGTTTCCTTTTGTCCTCTGGGGCCAACATATGAGGGACTACGTTGGAACACGTACACGTGTTTTGCCCATTTCGCAACCTCTGGAATAACCTGTGCTGCAGTAGCTCCTGTCCCTACTATGCCAACAACCTTTCCCTGTAGTTTTGTCAAATCAGGCTTCTCCTGCGTTCCACCGGTTACACTATAGTCCCAGCGAGCTGTATGCATCACTGTAACATTCTGGCGCATCTGATCAAACCCTTCAAGTCGTGGGATATGCGGCGTAGGGAAAACTCCAGCAACAAGGAACACAAATTGTGCCTCGACCTGGAGCGTCTCGACAGTGTCCACCCCAGTATTCTGGCTTATTTCAACGCGCCAATGATGCTTGTCCTCATTCCACTGCTTCCCTGTCACCTCAGCGCCAAACTGACCCTGCAAACCAAATGTCTTCGCAATGGCTTCGGCATTCGCGCGGATCTCTGAACCGTACGAGTATCTGTGCTTAGGCATGAATCCCGTTTCCTCAAGCAACGGCAAGTAACAATACCCTTCGACATCGCACATAAGACCTGGGTAGCGGTTCCAGTACCTGAATCACATGAGCTATTAGTCTCTCCCCGGGAAAACCAGTTTATCAGGATGATATACCAAGTCCCACCAAACCCACCGCCCTTCTCCACAATCACAATTTCCGATGACGAAAAGCCTTGTTGGATCAGCCGAGCGGCGATAAGGAGACCCGCGTGGCCGCCGCCGGTGATCAGGAACTTGATCTTAGCGCCATTTCTGAGGGGTCGGTTGGTGTTGATGGTATCATAGTCGATCCAAAGATCTCTGTTCAGCTCTCCTAGGGTATTGAGATTCTCATACTTCGTCAACCCTTCTGGCTGCAACTC